GAAAACAACCACGAAAAAGCTTTAGTATGCCACCACCCACAATCGAAGTAGACGAAAGTGTCCTGGTGGTAAGTTTCGATGGATCGGCAAGGGTAAAGATGGAAGGTGGCGCTTACAGCGCAATATTATGGAAGTTGCCTGAATGGACGATCGTGGTGGCTACTTAAGAATTTGTGGAAGATTTGACGGTAAACGAGGCTGAATATCGTGGGCTGTTGCTAGGTCTGGAGTCACTGTCCGATCAGATCAGAGGTCGGGTGATCTTTTGTGGTGACTCGAACTTGGTAATAAGACAGATGCGAGGTAAAATCGACTGTAAAGCACCAGGTCTACAACTTTTAAAACATGAGGCAATGGAGAAACTCCGATCGTGGCCAAAACACGAATTGCTACATGTGAACCGGGGGTGGAACCAGAGTGCTGATCGACTAGAGAGCGAGGCGTTACGTCAGGAGAAAGGAAATGTGCCATATCAGACCAAGAACGAGCCGATCTCGTGACCCTTAATCGGTTAAAAAAACTACTGATAACAAAACAGAGTAACCACCCAGTCAAGGTAGCCGCGATCACGCGATCAACGACGCGAAGACGATGCCCCAGACAGTTTTACAAGAAGATATTGTACAACAAGTCCGGATCGAACGTATAAACCAGGCGCAAAATGAGGAAACTTGGATATCGGACTTGAAGACATATCTGATAAGAAATATAGCCACGCTGAGTGCTAGATACCCAAAGATCTGCGCACTCATCTCACCAGACTGCGAAGTCGACCAAAGTGGACTGCTATTTTTCTGCCCCAGGGTGGCATCAAAGAGCGAAGATCGTGGAGAGTCAATTCGTCTGGTAATTCCAGAGTTGCTGCAACAAGACGTCCTACACCATTACCATAAAAGTTTAGAGGGTAAGCACCAAGGGGTAGGCCGTACATACCATCGGATCAGGGCGAATTTCTATTGGCGAGGATTGTATAGGAGCGTGCAACGCTATGTTGACGAATGTGTTGATTGTGAAACCGGCAAAGGTCGCCCGCAAGATCGGGTTGGATCTCCAGGCAACTTGCAAGCGACGTACTCATTCCAATTCTGGCAATGGATCATATCCCATCTTTACCGCGATCGTTTAAGGGAAATACCGAGTTGCTGTTGTGGGTCGATCTGTTCTCGGGTTAAGTGATCGCAAAAGCGAATTCGCCTCGAACTTTACAGACGATTGCAGAGAACTATAAAGAAAGCGTATTTCGAAGATTTTGTGCGAGTGAAATCATCCGTCATGATCGGGAGCCAGGATTTATGTCTGACTTCTTTCTAGCTTTCAACAAGATCGCGGGAAAGAAGCAACGAGCCACAATGTCGTATCGACCTCAAGCGAACGGAACCGCAGAACGTATGGTTCAAACTCTAACGCGATCGATTAGGATGTATGTCGCTGACAAAACCAGAGAGATTGGAATCAAAATGCAGAAAGATTAACCTATGCGATTAATGCCGCACAAGATCGAGTCCGCGGAGAGACACCATTTTATCTGATCCATGGCTGGGGCCCCCGATCGACGTTGGAAGCGGTATCACCGATGTGAAGTGTCAAACCTCGCGATCGAGATCCAAGAAGATGGAGATATAACATACAGCGTCAGTATCAACAGGCAAGAGCAATCGTGAACGATCGATTGAAGATCGCTATCCAGGACCGATCGAAATGTCACCATGACGACAGGAATCTGCAAGAGATCGATCAAGGGGCACAAGTGTGGTTGTATTTGGATCGCGTGAAGGATGGAAATGCTCGGAAGTTAGCCCATATGTGGCACGGACCCTTTCCAGTAAGGAAAAAATGCGGAGATCATGCAGTAAAATTAAATATCGCAGGCACACCTTATAGGTTGTTCCCGATAGTACATGTGTCCAAGCTAAAGCCAGTGAAGATGTTCCCAGAGCGGCCTCAAAGTCAACTGAAGGTAGATGAGTCCGATCGGGTCGATTTCGACGAAGCCTTACTACTGGAAGATAGCTGGGAAGGCGAGTTGGATGATGGTGAATTCGAGGTGACAAAGATTGTGGACGTCCGATCGGGTCGAAAGACGCGTTACGAACGAGTACACCGTCAATTTCTGGTTCAATGGAAAAGTAATAGCGATCCATCATAAGTGGATGAAGAAGACTTAAATTGTGGCGCTTTATTACAAGAATTCGATCGCGATCGGATAAGTCGAAATAGGTTCATAGTGATGCAAACGCACGAAGAAGAGCCAGGAGTCTAGACCAGATCGAGGTGGATGGGGTGTGTAAGTGTGCAAGGAGGTTGCACATGGTCGTACGGTGGGAAAAGTTACACCAGGAGGCGGTGTATGAAGGAGGAAGGAATGTTTGTAAGTATGTGTAGCGATCGAAGCACGATCGCGGCCCAAGAGGCCTGAAAAAAAGTAGAAGACATTTCCGGAGATATCAAGATTAAAGACAGTATGAAGCAATGAAATTGAAGCACAAAATTTGTTGAACTCAATATACTACGGGGCGAAGAACTTACCGGATAGGCGAGGGATTGACATGCCAGGGTGATTCGCGATCGAAGTCCGGTACTGATTACGCCATGGCTCAGCAGAGTTCGTCAACGACAAAGCGGAAGCCAGGTTGGGAATGTTAGTCTTCCCAGTCCCCAACCCGGGGTACCAGAACTGCTTCTCATGTAAGCGAGGTAGGTGCAAGAAATGCGGATCCAGCAGAATGTCCAAGTCGCAATGGCTTTCTACCATTCCTGGGAGTATGAACTTAAGCACGGTTTTTCAAGGAGGTCCAGATCGCGATCGCCGCTGCTTACGCTGATTGCAGAATAACATCAGCCCATAATCTTTAACCCGATCGGCGGAAGAAATGGGCAAGGTATGGGTTAATTCACACAACGTCTGGATATAGCGCTCTTCGAAAGAGTGGTATAGGTCCAGCAGCTGTTCAAACCACCCAACGGGCTGTTAAGACATGGGCGCAATCTTCACGCACAAAATTTTTAGGGATCCTGGCGATAAAGCGCGGCAACCTGCGCCGAAGAAATCAAGTGGGGAGACCACATAGACATGGGAGGTGCTTTCGATACAGCAGGAGAGGCTGGAAAAGGGTAACGCTTGGGCCTGGCAAGATGGCGATAGAAGAACTCCAAATCAAATTCCAACACGCTTATGTAGCTCACCCGGCGCGCATACCCAGGTGAAATTTAAACAGAAGATTTTGGTATGCGACAGTGATACCCGGGTATCCACTGATCCTGGGGCACCTTAGTCTTAGGAAGATCTTTGTACTCGGCCGAAGACAACAGATTATTGGCTGGGGCTCGGACGTCTTCCGTAACGCTGATCGGACCCTCCGACCTGCTAGAAGCTTCGCCAAACAAGTCGACTTAGAAAACCTTGGGTTTTGGCCTAAGATAAGCGGCAACTGGGGAGGCGGGGGAATCCACATCCGGGCTGGAGGTATCCATTACGATCAACTCTGGTAACGTAGAAGACGGAGTCGTCGGATTACCCAACGGGACCTTACGCCGTGAAGAAGAGCGTGATCGGGAGAGTGCAGCCAAGGTTCGAGGCCCAGCACCCGATGAATCATCATCATCCGAGCTAGCCGGAGCAGGCGTCGGGTTGCGCGCTCTGCCTTTGCCTTTTCGAACACCAGGTCCGGGAAGAGCGGGAGTCTTGGGCGTAAGTTTTGCTTGAGATCGTGTGGAACTGTGGGGTGATCGGGAACGGTTGTTCTTCGGAGTTTCACACGGCGGAGAAGGCTCGGCGACGATACCGGACGCAGTCGGATAATGAGTCTTGGGTGTCATCTTGACGACCGACTGCAAGGTAGCCTCGATTCTGGCTCTCTTGGTCCGCGGCTGAGGGGTTAGAGCGGAAGTACTAGTGCGTTTGACTCGAGCACTCGTGGATAAGGAAGTCTCAACTGGAAGCGACGAAGAAGGTAATCTGGGGCCGGTAATGAGCGCGGCAATGCACATTCGAATAACGTCTCGATCGCGCAACGCCTGATCGCGCTCTAGCTCCAAATGCGAGATAGTAGCTTGAAGCAGACCCACCCCATCGTCACGTTCGGAAAGCAAGGAGCACGATCGGTCATATTCAGCTTCCAACTCAGCCAGATCATCCCGAAGTTGATCGCGCTCCACTGATACAGCGTCAAGGGCAGCACGCAGTTGGCGAACCGTGGTCTGAGCCTTGGTACAGTCTGCCTTGTACTTGGCTCTCTTAGATTTGGCCTATAAGAGCTCGGCTTAATATCGAGCGTTCCCCTCATCCATGTGCCGTCGCAAGAAAGCCAGCTCGAGATCATGACGTTCTTTAAACGTATGAAGTGATCGGGCCGTTTTCAGAAATTTCGACTTTAGGTCGCTAATTTGCTGCTCGTGGCAAATCCCCGCGCGAATTGTCTCCTGAAGCAAGGCGGATTCAGCGAGTGCATTATTCAAATCCAGACGAAAGCGATCACAACGAGTTTGAGCGAAGATCACAAAAGGAGAGGCCGACTCGGTAAGAGAACGGAGTTCCCGTTCTAGTCGATCACCCCTCCGAGTTTGCTCCCGCAACGCTTGCTCCAGATCGCGACAGCTATCCAATAGATCCTGCTGGGATGCGATCCACTGATAAAGTCCAGCGATTATACCGACCGCGGTCGTTTTATCAACTGTAGGTGCTTCAACTCGAGTGGTCGGCAACGTAATAGCCCTAACGGGGGTCGCCACTTGCAGCAAAATTGTCGACGACATCAAGCGTCAACGCCGAGCTCATCGGATCAGTGGTTGTAGCAAATTTTACGACCCCAATCGGCTCGTCACTCGCAGCAGAACTGTCAAGTACATCAGGCGTCAATGTGGAGCCGATCGGTTCCGTACTTGAAGCGAGGTCCACAACAGCATCGATTCCCAAATCAGGGCCGATCGGACCTCCGCTCACCGAGGTAACTTCAACCGCGTCTGTAGTGGAATCAGAGCCATTTGGGTGTTCGCGTGGCAAAATGTCAACACCTACCGAAGGTGCGGGACCAGATTACGTCATCACCGAGGGAGATGGCGCACAACTAGCTGGTGGCAAGCTGGGCGTGGACTACGGGGAAACCATGGAAGGCAACGGGAGGATGAAACGGAAAGTGGTGACTTAAACGTGCACAAGCGAGCCCGATATTGCAGATCGGCTATTTGTGCAGGGGGCGATTGTGGTAAAGTCGATCAAGATCGGTTTCGTAAAACCTCGAACGTATGCCTAAGTACGGAGTGGGAACCGGCGGAACGATCGTGGAACGAGGACCGATCATATGGATGGCACCGTTGGGATTATTCACGGAAGTATCTCGTCCAGTTAGAATGGTTCCAAGCGGCGAAAACGACCTCGATCAAGGGACCGCGATTGAGGGACCGCCATCAGGGGACCGCGATCAGAGGACCGCGATCAGGGGACCGAGATCAGGGACCGCGATCAGGGGCCGCGATTGAGGTACCGCGATCAGGGGACCGCGATCAGGGGCCACGATCAAGGTGCCGCGATCTGGCGTGGACCATGCCCTGATGCGATCAGACGGTTGTTGGATCTGGTCTGTGCCACATAGGTACAAGGGGCGATCTGTAGAGGCGACGAGTGTCATCTGATTTTCTGAGTTATAGGGGTAAGGTGTGAGGGTCTGATTGGTTAACATTATACAGAGTTCAATTTACCTCAAAGGGCACATGTCGACTTCATTCCGGGCAGGAACATAAATTGGCCTCCCGAAGACAGATGTTGCCACGCGTGCTAGAAGTATCTGCTTCTGGATCGATTGGCCAGGGCTCGTCTCTCAACGTGATTTAATGCACTTAGTAACCATGTGATCAAGAAATTCGACATGGATCCGTCTACGCAAGATACAAGGGAATTCCGGGCAGGAACGTATATTGGCCTCCCGATGTCAAGGACAACGCGTGTCATCAAGACGTATCAATTCCTGGATAGTTTGGCCAGGCATTTTGTAATTCCAATAGAGCTATTTGTTTGGTAACAGAGTAATAAAGAGTTCAATTTGCTTCTAAACAAATTCGTGTCGATCTTCTCCCGGGTTGGCTATTTTGGCCCCCCGATGTCTGACAATCTCGACATCAAGGATAGAACGATCACTCCTGGAGCTATTTGGCCAGGAGTGCTAGGACTCTCAACACACCCCTACTGCGATCGGACGCAGCCAACCGTATCGGTTGAAGTACAAGATCGCGAGACGGCTCAAGTGTCCAGAAAGGCTCGCGACTCAAGTACACATTTGGCACATGGTGATCAGGGCAGATCACGGCGACTCTAGGAGAGCGCCAACCCAGAAACACGCGATCGGGTGAGGATTTTTCATCTGATCAGCACCAATCTCTACAACGGTCAAGTTTAGCATCTTTTCGAGTCCACCTAGAAGAGTGCAACCCGCCCTGCCGACGGGTACACAAGGTAAGAAGGAAACAAGTGCAAGCAGAATCGGAGTACCCCCTCCGTTAGTCGGTCGTCTGGGCGCCAGTGGAGAGTCGGGATTGCCTCAAAAAATGAGAGAACCCCACTCCACCACAAACGCAAAAGCGGCACGATCGTCCAAGCGATCGTGTGCCTAGCAATTCTCGTTACCCTTCACAATATCCTCAAGCCCATAAAGCCGAGATCGTTCATTAGCCAAGTCATCTTGCAACTGTTCCGTTAGATGGTTCTCTCTTGAACATCAAACTGATCCAACCTTAGAGCCGGATCAGATGTTACAACCGCCACCACATCCTTTGGTGGACTCAAGCGGTGGTTAACGCTTACTAGTGGAGTGTGTTTTGAACCACCGCGATATGAATGGCGTTCGGACGAGTTACCTCGTCCGCTGGCGTGGCTATCCACCGGCGTGGGACAGCTGGGAGCCTCGTGTCCAGCTGATTGTTGATGTCCTTGGTCTCTTCGAGCACTTCGACGAGACCCACCCGCTTCGCTCGAAGAAGGACGTCGGAAAACGACCTCCCCGAACGCGAGTACAGTCGATCCCTTCGCCCATCTCGGAAGAGATGCGCGCCCTCCAGTAGGGATCATTTGGGAGGTAAGCCTCCTAGGGACACGGTTCGAGTTGTCCAGGCAACCTGGACACGAATCACCCCACGAGAGACACGGCAATCCTGCCTCTCGCGGCAGCCGGTGCAACTTGTATCGCGCCCCGGCTGGGTTACGGTTCTCAAACCTGATGCTAACTGCATCAAGTTTAGCGAGCCAAGCCTCACGGCCAATACACTCGATGTTATGGATGAGGTCATTCCATCCCTGCACCAAGGCCTTACCGTCTCGGCCACGGCTGCTGTAGTACTATCGATGTTTGAAAAATGCATCGGTGAAGAACTCTTCCTCAGGACGGATACTTTCCGTGCTGTAATTAGGAGGACAGGTCCACCTACAGTCGGACAACAGGTTTCGAACCGTTCGGTGGTCATGTCGGCCACTTGATACAACTCTTTGGATGACGGCGTCCAAGAAGACTCCACTTGAGGAGCGTGGCGCAAGACGTTTCGGTCCCTGGCCTCTTGATTGGTGTCAGCACGAGCTCTGACACCAGTGACACCTCGATCCTTTGAATTAGTTCGCTCGTGGTGATGTATTGGTGCAGCGCCACCATCACCACGCGTCCTGTCGTTGGATAGACTTGCGTGAGGCGAGGATTCGTCGGAACGATCGCTCGATCCGAAGATCTCGAGCATGATGCCGCCACATTGCCCAGAGCTAGTCAACCTGGCTCTTGCAGTGTCCGCCCCAAATGATCCGGAGGCGTGAGGTGTCGCCTTCCAGTCGGATGCATCATCCGACTCGACTGAAAAGATGAGCTCTATTTTAGGCTCATCTGGATTACGATTCGCGGTACCCGTTGTAGACGCAGCGGATGTACCCGTCGCACGTGGTTAGTCACCACGTGTGAAGTTCACAGCAGCAGGTGACGAATCACCTACTACTGAGATGTGAGAAGTACTCTCACCGGCTGCACGCATGCGTGCAGTCGCATTTCTTGCTGCTATAGTAGTAAGTCGCTTGGTATTTGCAACCATGCGTATTTCGGTTAGTGAATGGAATTTGACCATCAAGTGCTCCCTTTCCCAGAGTGATCCAACGGCGGTCTTCCTAACCCAAATAATTATAATTTAATCAACGGGTGATTGATGGTTAAAGGGGGTTAATGTAAACGGGTAGCTTGTATCATGAATTTGACACCAAACGGTGTCAATTGGAATATTGTCTCGCATGACAATATTCCACTGATATTATCCGAGATTGATTATATTCATTCACTACACCAAGATTGGCTGATATAAGACATATCAACCATAGATTACCACCAATCGCTGCTAGACGCGCGCAATGAGTGGTGAGCAGGTTGTCGTCATACGACGACGTAGTTTAATATAGATAGATAAGATTAAAGGTAAATCGATAGCTTAACTATATTAGATACAGTTCTCTTTTCACCTTTACTTGATCGAGTCGTTCAAGTAGTTTAGCTTCCTCTGCACGTACTTTGGTACGTGAAGTTTCGCGGCACCCCTAACAAAGAATGCCTCGATACACCTGGTAGCACTTCGTAGTCCGTCCAACGACTACATAGTGTCCGTCTAACATGAACATGTTGGACGTAGAAGACGACAGCTTTCGCGTCAAACGTAAAGGCCACTCCCACCTGAGTGACTCAGAAATGGGAGGTAGTCGGCCGCATGAGTGTGCTCATGGGCGAACCCGCCATCAGTGGTATGTTGGAGTCTCTAAGCAGAGACCAGCAACATGCTGCTATCAGCAAGTTCCTACAAGGGGAACTTGCCGTCGAAAGACAGAAGATAGTAATGCTACAGCAGCAAGGCTCTCATCAGTCGATGGGCGGACCGAAGCACATGCGTCGACCCGAAACCTTGAAGATTGACATCTTAAGGTACAAGGTAACCGACGAAGATTCCCTTCTGAGCTGGTTCGTCGAGTTGGACGACGCCATCAGGGCCCGTCTCATCCAGAGTGACAAGGTGCAAGTCACCTTCGTCTTGTCACACTTGACAGGACGAGCAAAGCCTTGGGCTTTGGGGCTCAAGCTTCACGATCCAAACGTGTTTGAGTCGTTGGAGATATTGAAATTTCGGCTCAAAGACACGCTTGAACCGCCGAGAGCCGAGAGCAGAGCACGCTCTGCAACCCGAAGGCTCAAGAAATTTTAGCGTGATATGCACGCTTACGCACAACACCTACGCCACCTTGCGATTAGCAACAAGGGATACCTTGTTGATGAGCATGCAGTCACCAACGTGTTCATCTACGGCCTTGTCAAATGGACCGGTCAAGACCCACATGTTCCGAGAGGACTTCCATACGCTGGAAAAGGCGATAGCGCATGCGGAAAAAGGGGACTTTAGCCTGAGACAGTCTCAGGCTAACTCGTCAACTATCCTTTGACGAGACGACAGGAAATAGGAGGTCCTGAAGCGATGGACCTCTGTTACATCGAGAGCGATAACTCTCGCTCTCTGAGTCACAAGCGAACGGCAAGATGCCATCGCTGTCATGAGATCGTTAAATTCGATTATAAGTGTAGTGTAACAAGCATCATTTCACGTCCATACACAGGACGTAATGACCGCCCCCGGTGGGGGGCCCCACAATCGGTTGTTCTGGGGGGCCCCTCACATGAAGAAGAGGGGTTGCCTTCCCCCCCTGGGGCATCGAACAGTTTCATTATTCTTGTTAGTCGCTAAGGAGATAGTAGTCGCAACTATGTTGAGCGAGAGTTCCCTCCAACAAGGATGACGGTGTGCCTTACTACAGGCGCATCCGTAACAGTGAACAAACGTGTACTGGGAATCCACTACACGCTAGAAGGAAAACAATACGATGATGACTTTATCGTATTAGATTTGGATGACAAATTTGATGTCATCATCGGTCTGCCATGGCTTAGAAAGTATCGGCCATGGGTTAGCTAGCAGCATCGATCCGTGAAGATGCCTGCCGTTTGTTCATCGGATGGCCATCCGATAATGGTTTTGGAGCGTAACAAGCGTGTGGGTGTACTACGAGTGAGTGCGATGGCCTCAAATGTAGTACGGTCGTTAGAACGATTGCACAAGATCACAGTGTAGAAAGCCACTGCGCTGTGTAATCAGCTTCCGGCACCTGTGTAGAGACACAGGCTGCGCCGAAGGTTCACCACTCAAAGAGATCGAGTGGACTGGAACACGGATGCACACCAAGAAGGGTGCATCTGAGAAGAGAGACTAGTGTTGTTCAGGATGGACAACACGTTGAAGCGAGATCGACTATCAGAGAGTCGATCGTAGAGCAAGCCCGCTCTACTGAAAGAGAGTCGATAGAAGAGGACGTGACCGTGATAGTACCCGTAACGGAAGAAAATTCCGGCGTTCCTGAGAGCGGTAACCCCGAGAAAGTTATGTTGAGGGTGTGGATCCCCAACCACCTGCGGGTGTGTTTTCCCAGAAAAGCACCGAGTCAGTTAATGTCTCGGTGAATGACGGATCAAGTGTAGGCGCTTATACACTTGATCTGGTGACGCCCCCGAAGTCAGCTTCGGAGGTAATCAAGTTGCCAACCCTAGAATTTAAAATGTTTTTGTGAGATCTGCGTAGTGACAAGATCAAGCAGATCTGTGTACTCGTCATAGAGGACGAGTACGTCGCCGAAATTCGGTCGGCACAAGTGTTTACTGAGAGCACACGGGTTCTCAGTAGCTCATCAATGGACGAGAGCGTTCTCGATGAGAAGGTCCGGATTGATCGATACACGTCTCAATCATGGGAGTCTTTGAAGACAAATCCTTTGTATAAGGATTTGGTGGAATTCAAGGATTTTTCCCGGAATCCGTGCCATGCGAGCTTCCCAAAGACAAAGGCACCCGGCATGAGATCGAACTGAAACCCGGTTTGAAGTACTGTGTCCTGAAGCAGTGGCCACTGCCTCGTGAACAGGTCACAGCGATCGACAAATTATTTGCCGAACGTTTAGCGGCTGGTCATATGATGGAGTCAGCATACTCACAAAGCTCTCCGACCTTCTATGTGCGAAATTCCATAGACGGGTGGGGGATAGTGCACACGTTCAACAGATTGAATGCTGCAACGGTACCGGATTAGACGCCAATACCGAGGTAGGACGTCATCATTGATGGTACGGCAAAGAGTACCATCTTTTCATCCATAGATTTGATGGATGGATTCTACCAGATCCTCATGCGTGAACGGGATATCCCTTACACAGCAGTGAGCACCTTCAGTGGTATGCTTTGGGAGTGGCTAGTGATGCCACAGGGGCTAAGTAACGCCCCCGCAACGTTTAACAGATGTGTTACAAATCTATTGCGATCGGTGCGCGACTTCGCACCGAGTTTCTTCGACGATGTATTCGTCCATAGCCGAGCTATAGACGGAAAGACGGACGCGGAGGTTCATAGAATCCACGTCCGGAAGGTTCTTACACTAATGCGTGAGCGTAAGTTGTTCGCGAACCTCAAGAAGTGCATATTCGCAGCGAACTAACACCACTTCTTGGCTGCATCGTGGGTAAAAACGACGTACGCCCTGATCCGGAAAAGATCAAGGCGATTAGCGGCTGGCCTGTTCCATTCGACGTCAAGGGACTTCAAAAGTTCCCTGTCTTAGCGGCGTACTTGCACAAGTACTCGCGCAACTATGCCGAGGTGACCGTACATCTCTCTCGTCTGCTAAAGAAAAACTAGAGGTGGTCATGGAGTGCTGAGTGTCAGCACTATTTTGAAGGCATCAATATCAGCCTGGTGCAATCGCCTGTCTTGGCGATTGCAGATCAGGATAGGCCATTTCATGTGTTCTGTGACGCCAGCGATTTTGCAATCGGGTGTGCGTTAACGCAGTACGACTCAGGCGGCGTTGAGCGCGTCTTCTGTTATGAATTGCGTCAGCTGCAAGCAGTTGAGCGAAATTATCCGGTTTATGACAAGGAACTCCTTGCCACGAAATATGCACTGGCCAAGTTTCGGGTATATCTCTTAGGAGATAGGCTCTTCATCGTTTATACCGACCATGCGTCGTTACGCACGGCCGTAAACAGTCCACACATCTCGCAACAAATGACGAGATGGCTGTCTTTCTTCGTGGAGTACATCTTCTCCGTCGAGTATAACCAGGACGACTTAATGTCGTCGCTGATGCTCTTTCGCGTCGGCCTGATTTCGAGCTGATTGCGCACCCAACAGTAGGGGCGATCCCACTGTCGCGACACTAACAGTGAGTGTTCCGTCGTAGAATCTTCTCGATGACGTGCGGGAAGCATACACAGAAGATGAGTCTCTTCTGCGGTTGATGGATTACGTATCCAATCCGTGTGATCAAGCTTTGAAAAGCTTGTCGTCTCAATACCGCTCTTCGACCGAACGGTATTCTGTTCGTGACGGACTGCTGTACTATACAGCATTCCACGGCGACACACCTCATGTCGTCGTTCCGGCTCATAATGATGTGCGATTGCGCATCGTGTATGAGTGTCACGATGCCCCAACAAGTGGAAATCGCGGTAGAGAAAAGACGTATCTCATGGTGAGTCGTGACTTCTACTGGCCTCGCCAGTATGAGTTCGTGCGCAAACACATTCGCGCTTGCGAAGTTTGTCAACGGGTGAAGCCTAGTCTTTAATCCCGCGCACCAATACAGCCTCTTCCGATTACGGCAGAGTGTTGGCAGTCCGTATCGATGGACTTCGTCTTTGGTTTTCATAAAGACGTTCATAAGAATACGGGTATTCTTGTGTTGTTGATCGGTTCAGCAAGATGGTACATCTTGTTTTTGTACCGGATTAAATCACAGCACAGGGCGTTGCGCGTGTCTTCATCGATACTATCTTCCGACTTCACGGTTTACCCCGTGAGCTCGTGTCCGATAGGGAACCGCTTCACAGCGGAGTTCTGGCAATCCGTGTTCCGTTTACTTGGAACACGTTTGACGATGTCAACTTCTGACCATCCCGAAACAGATGGTCAAACGGAACGCGTCAACCGCGTTCTCGAAGAGATATTTCGAGAGTATGTCCACTCGTTTACGAGCTGGAGTGAGTTCTTGACGATGGCGGAATTCGCCATCAATAATTAGGTGCACGCGTCGACAACGCTTACACCGTGCTTCGTGAATGGCCTATCTCATCCACGTTTGTCCGGCTTCTAAGAGTGTGACTCTAGTTTAAGGGGGGGGTGGACTCGCTCGAACAAAACCCGATCTGGTTCTTGCTCATCACCCGCCGACAATGGTGTCGACGTGGTGGATGCCGATGTCGATGGGGTATATATCGATGATGATGATGACGACGATTCTGGCATATTCAGCATCGCCAATGACCGCCAAAGTGAGGACGATGACACCCTCACTGGTACAGACAACGTTCTTTCAGCAGTGCACACGAAGCACACTGCTGTTGACAAGGATGAATCAGCAGAGGAATTTCTGCTGACTCACGAAGCGGTTGTCCGCTTCGTTCAAGACTCTATTGCAGATGCACTAGACAAGCAGAAAAGAAACGCAGACAAACATGGAAGAGCAAATGTTCTTTCATTTGATGAAAAAGACCTAGTTTTACTGTCTACAGTAAACGTACCGAAGCACGCAGTGACAAACGTGGGCAGCAGGAAATTACTGCCCAGGTACATCGGTCCATTTCGAGTTTTGCGTTAATTGGGCAACGCATACACGATTGAACTGCCCCGTAAGATGCGCACGCATCCTACGTTTATGTTGGTCGTCTCCGCTTGAAATATCAGTACAAGCCCGTTTCGAGATGCAAAGAACACCTCTACGGTCGAGAGCCGAGACCACCTTCGAGTTGTCCGGTTTCAACGAACTAGTATGGTCGACTAGCGAAGCGACCTGTTCACGCAGCTCAGAGATGTCTTGACGAGCTGCAGCCAATTCATCACGAAGAGAACGAGTCGAACGTTTGTTCTAAAGATGCGCAAACGCAAAAGCGCCACGATCGTCCGAACGATCGTGCGCCAAGCAATTCACATTACCCCTCACAAGATCCTCAAGCCCATAAAGCCGAGATCGTTCATGAGCCAGGTCATCTTGAAACGTTTATGTTAGACGGTTCAGCTCTTGAACATCAAACTGATCCAACCTTAGAGCCGGATCAGATGTTACAACCGCCACCACATCCTTTGGTGGACTCAAGCGGTGGTCAACGCTTCCTAGTGGAGCGTGTTTTGAACCACCGCGATATGAATGGCGTTCGGACGAGTTACCTCGTCCGCTGGCGTGGCTATCCACCGGCGTGGGACAGCTGGGAGCCTCGTGTCCAGCTGATTGTTGATGTCCTTGGTCTCTTCGAGCAGTACGACGAGACCCACCCGCTTCGTTCGAAGAAGGACGTCGGAAAACGACCTCCCCAAACGCGAGTACAGGGATTGCAAAGTGTCGATCCCTTCGCCCATCTCGGAAGAGATGCGCGCCCTTCAGTAGGGATCATTTGGGAGGTAAGCCTCCTAGGGACACGGTTCGAGTTGTCCAGGCAACCTGGACACGAATCACCCCACGAGAGACACGGCAATCCTGCCTCTCGCGGCAGTCGGGACAACTTGTATCGTACACCGACGGGGTTACGTTTCTCAGACCTGATGCAAGCTGCATCAAGTTTAACGAGTCAGGCCTCACGGCCAATGCACTTGATGTTGTGGATGAAGGCTTTCCGTCCCTGCACCAAGGCCTTACCGTCTCGGCCACGGCTGCCGTTGTAATATCGATGTTTGAAAAATGCATCGAAGAATTCTTCTATAACACAAAAGGTAATCGTGACAGAATTAGGAGGACAGATCCTCCTACAGTCATCAACAGGTTGCGAACCGTTCGGTGGTCATGCCGGCCACCCGACACAACTTTTTGGATGACGGCGTCCAAGAAGACTCCACTTGAGGAGCGTGGCGCAAGACGTTTCGGTCCCTGGCCTCTTGATTGGTGTCAGCACGAGCTCTGACACCAGTGACACCTCGATCCTTTGAATTAGTTCGCTCGTGGTGATGTATTGGTGCAGCGCCACCATCACCACGCGTCCTGTCGTTGGATGGACTCACGTGAGGCGAGGGTTCGTCGGAACAATCGCTCGATCCGAAGATCTCGAGCATGATGCCGCCACGTTGCCCAGAGCTAGTCAACCTGGCTCTTGCAGTGTCCGCCCCAAATGATCCGGAGGCGTGAGGTGTCGCCTTCGATTCGGATGCATCATCCGACTCGACTGAAAAGATGAGCTCTATTTTAGGCTCATCTGCGTTGCGATTTGCACTACCCTCTGCAGACGCAGCGGATGTACCTGTCGCACGTGGTGACTTACACGTAGACTGTTTATAACAATAGGCGACGAATCACCTGCTACTGAGATGTGAGAAGTACTCTCTCTATTCGCACGCATGCTTGCAACCGCCTTCATTGCTGCTGTAGTAGCAACGCGCTTGAATTTTGCAACCATGCGTTGATTTCGGTTAGTGAATGGAATTTGACCATCAAGTGCTCTCTTTTCCAGAGTGATCCAACGGCGGTCACCCTAACTCTAATCAATTCTAATTTAATCAACGGGTAATTGATGGTTAGGGGGTTATGTAAACGGGTTTCCCGTTACATGATATTGACACCAAACGGTGTCAATTGGGAAATTGTCTAGCATGACAATTACCTACCGAAATTTATTCGAGATGGATAATATTGAAGGCATTAATCCCCGTCAGGATTAGATTAATTCGCCTCTCCAAGATTGGTGGATATAAGACACAACAACCATAGATTACCGCCAATCGCTACCAGACGCGCGCAATGAGTGGTGAGCAGGTTTTCGTCATACGAAGGCGTAGTTTAACATTGTTAGATAAAGATTAAAGTCGTATTGATAGCTTAACTATATTAAATAGAGTTCCTTTTTTACCTTGCTTGATTAAGTCGTTCAAGTAGATAGCTTCCTCTGTATACGTAATAACTTACGTAGACTTTCGCGGCACCCCAAACAAAGGGTGCCCGTTACATGTAGTCTTTAGTTAGCGGTAAACGGCTGGCGACAGAAAGTGGGAATGGTTGCAATGCAAAGTTCTGTTTATAATTCTACTACAAATTACTTTGTTTGTAATAAATTTTTGTTTGTAAATAGCAGGGCATACACCAAGTGCTTTTTGACTATCGAATTTTTTTAATTGGGCTTTATTAAAACCCGACATCCTGCAATTGTTTACTATTTGGGTTGTCAATTTTTATAAAAATTGATCCTGGTGTGACTCAAGCACAATCCGTCCGGCCGCCAATCCTTGAAACTGCGAAAGTTGCAATAATATTGTAAGTCGTCAGGACATTACCAAAAGTATGACCTCTGGACGTACTTACTAATATGTCGCAATCGTTGTTCCAAATAAGCCTTTATTAGCGTATCGATCACATTTAACAAAGACGTCCACGATCCTCAGCAGCGAGCGCGTAGGTCACCATGTTGGTAGCAAAGCTACTCACTGCTTCTTGACAGAGGCAGTCTACGACTCAAAAAGGTTTTCAATTATAACAAATGAACAACGACGTACAGTCGTTCAAGCGTACAAGCTTGACATTATCGGATTTCAAGGGATAACGATTCACAGGAGCACACACTAATTAGTCACTACTAGTTAAACAATAGTAAGCGCTTTGCAATACCAATGCTCGTAATGACACAATAAGCCTAAACCAGTAGGCAAATGTGTTTAAAACTTATTTAGGTAATACTGAATTTTGCTTTTTTCTTTACTCACGATATTAAACCATAAAAATTTGTCTGAATTCTACATTGCAATCTCATGACAGGAATCTGATCTCTATTCCCTATCTGATAAGGTGCAGCACAACCGTAAGCACATGTTGCCAGTACGGTATCACTCAGACCACCGATCTTAACCTTGTTATGGACACACAACGTAACCGGTTCAAGGACCGCCGTGTAACCCCATTACGATGTTGTGCCTTTAATTAGTTGATGATAGCAATATTATAATTGGAAATTCGGCGCCAGAAACGAAACGCGGTCGCTTTGCTAGCGCAGTCTATAATTGGTTTTCGGATGATGAATCTCCACTAAGCGCCAGGAGTGCTGGATGCATGCACTAATGGATCCTAATAATCACCATAAGAATGGCGTAAGCGCCAAGACACACCTCAAATTTCGTGATTCGTCGGACTAGGACTTTTGAGGAGCAACTGCTTACAGCTAGCGGACTTCCCGTTTAAGTTTCCTGTAGACAACGAGCCCCTCGATTTATTCAGGGAATAACGAGTGATGACCATTGGCAGAAAGTGGACTAAGTTCGCGGTTGCGGCAACATTTAATGATAGCTAAAGAAATGCCTTTCTCTAAAAAAAAACGTCACTTAACAACACAAAGCAACTTGCCGACCCTATATGAGTGCATACACGACGGTGAGGGTGATCCTGGCATTCAATCTTCTCAAATGGCGCCAGCTCGACAAGCCATTTATTTAATTTTTTTGGTTTAAAATTGGATCTTGAGTTATTAGACTAAAAATACCGATTGACTCGCCTAATGAACGGGTTTGTTCATTTCAACCCTTGTAACGAGGCACTGTTCACGATTAATGCTATATTACTAGTGCACCTACACTGACAACAGTGTAGGTAGTTACGTGCGTCACATCACTTACATTGTACGTGCAGGTAAAGGCTAGCTAGTGAACAACGCGTTCAATATGAGTAGAAAGTAAAACTGTATTGAATATAATCAAGTCCTTAATACACGTACCCATTTTTAATCACAACTTAATCCTACTTATCTTCAAAATGTTATGCTAAAGTTTAGCTCACCACTCGTTGGACCGCTAGAGCTGGCTGATATGATGGCCCATATCATCCAATCGGTGAGGAGCTTCGGAATATTACCCCTCATGGTTCTATTTACGAACAGCATAGACTCTATATAATTTAGATTGACTAGTACAAGAGTATTATCATGTCACAGGCTTACCCCAATACAACCCTGAAAAAAATTTAATTGAGGTTCTGTTATACACGTATTTAGTGCTGTTAAAAATTATATATTATGAACAGGAACTATGAAATCAACATCCGTATGCAGTGAAGCTCTATTCAGGTAATTACGACCACCTTTTCACCTAAAATTTGTTCAAAATCGGATGCTGACGCATTTAAGAATTAACCGAACTCGGAAGGCCGGTAGCTCACAAAACTTTGACACATCTCCCTTGCCTGCCGTCAAACAAGCTCTAGCTTGCACAGTTCAGTTCCCACTGCAAGTCCGGTGAAACGAGTTGGCACGCTGTTCGGAAGCACGTGACTCACCGCATGAGAGCCAACACATAAAGTATTGTACCTATAATTAATTCACGAATTTTAACACAGTCCTTTATGAGTCCCAAGCAGTCCTGTACTAAATCACGAGCAAATGATCCGAAATACTTGATTTACGGACGCAGGCTGGACGCTTTTTGTACCTCCGCTGAATGAATCTTTATTTGCTTACAGAGTACAAAGTGAAGTCGCTCAGTGCAGCGACCTCGGCCGCTACCGCATTTTTTTTCTACGCATCGAACATTGTAGAATCTTGCCTGATTGTATCTGTATGATTAAATGGGGTAGGGGAAATGTAACGGGGTGCCTCCGTTACATGATAATATACATAAGGTGATCATTAAGTGTGAATATTGCATCAGGACAAAACAATGTTCTCACATCATAGTACTTTTAAATATAATTTCTTTGCAGATGTTATACAATGCTTGGTTAATAAGGGATCGATACGTCAACCAATAAAGGCTAGCCACGGCACAAGCACGCAATTAAAAGAGTGAGCAGATAATTACAATGCATATTTGCATATAGATACAATTCAATGAAGTCAAATTTAGATTGAATAAAGGATTTCGTATACAAGATAAAGTTCTGCTCTTCACCCTTGCCGGGTACTCTTAGCCCGTTTAGCAATCTTCTTCTGTACGTACCTGTACATGAGGTAGTCGGACGCACGCATCCTTGCACTGTCAGCAGAGCAGGGTATATTCATTTACCTGAATCAATTGTGCCTCGTTACGCCCGATATTACGTCCTGGTTCGTTCAACGACCATGAACATGTTAGACGATAGGGGAGCGAATTTCATTCCACGCAAGAACCCACTCCCACTTGAGAAATATCGGATGGGTTGCCGTCGAATGTTTAGGTTCGTCAATGGGGCTTGAAGCCTTTGGCGCAATGCTTATCGCCTTAGGGCCATACGGACAGCACGCCAACACCGCCAATTTCATACAGAGTAGACTAGACATTCAGCGGGAAAAGTAACCTTTCTTCATCAACGAAACATAGCTGTTGAGGCTACATAATTCTCAACAGTTTGAACTGTTGAGACAGCAGCAGGCCACTTCTAACGCGTCGACGCACGCACGTCGACCTTAGACTCCAAAGATAGCATCTCAAAGTACCAGAGAGCCGATAAAAACTCTCTGTTGAAATGGTCCATGGAACAACATGATGCCACAAAGGCTTGCCGCATTGTCGATTAGCAAATGCAGATCGCATTTGCTCAATCTAACTTGGCAGGCGTGCAAAAACGTGGTCATTAAGCCTTAAATTCCATGTCTTAGGTCAATAAAAGTTTTAAGTCCCTGATTAGGAAAACATTTGAGCCGCCGTGAGCTGATTTCAGGGCTGCTATAAATTCTTAAAAATAGTGCAAGGTTAACGTGACGTATAATTGTCCATTCAGT